TTTAGGGTATTTTACTTTTAAAGGTTGAAGACATTTGTCAATATAAGCTGTCGATAATAGTCTTTTGTGTTTCTCCGGGTTTCTCTAAACATTTTTTTCATTTGGTTTTATATATTTATGTCAAATGCAAACATGCTGCTGCTACAAATACAAGTTCCATACACTATACCTCAGATAAACAAATGAATAATAGATAAGTAACGGTCTGGATGTGTTTGAAGCTAATATGAACCGTTTTATCTATTACTTTCTCTTTCTTCTTGGTCTTTGATATGATTCGTCTATTTTAAATAGCAGCGCCATTTACTCACAACTGTCATCAAGCATTTGGGAACTGTCAGTTTTGTTGGCACATTTTGTGTGATTTTATATTCCCAGGGCATATTTTTAAAGTTTTTAGAGTGTCTAAAATGTTTATTTAACGAATTTTGTTAGTTGTAAGTCTAAAAATTATTATTCAATGTTTGTTTGCCCTGAAACAAATTTGGAGAAGTTCCACGTCGTTTCAAAGGTAAGTAAATAAAACACATGGGCGGTACACCTATATTGTAAAATATTATTTGTATTTTTTTTGGGCAGACTTCCTACAAACTGAAGCAATGGAAATTTGTATTCAAATCCTGGAATTATAGAAGGTTGAAGTTGATAAAATTAACATAAATTGGAAATATAAAATATATTGGAAACATTTTATAATATTTTGTTATGAATTCTGCTGGAAAAGATGAATTTAAAGCTGGAAGCAATTCCTATTTTATTCACTTCTCAACTTGGTCCGTCTTCAAGTAAGTTATACAAGTAAGTTATAATAATATTATGTAATACAATACCTAATACAAATTATTCATACATTATAAACTTAGGAGATTAAATTTAAAAAATAAATGCTATATTGTATTCTCCTAGACAAAGTAAAATAAATCTTAGTGCTTTCTGGAAAGAAAACATTTTATGAAAATATAAACTACTCCAAAGAGTTTCTTGTATCTTAGTAATGAAATGAATTATACTTATAGAATGATTATGTTGTAAATATTTTATAATTCTTTTTAGGGAAAATTTACTTCCTAGTGAATGTAGTGAAAGACAGAGTCTAGAAGTGATTTATAATACGCACATACTGGATCAGAAAATTTAAGTTGTTCCACCGACATTGCTCCAGAAGCTATAGAATAGGTTATTCAATTTATAAAGAAGACATCTATAAAAATGCCCAAATTCAGAGACAAAAGGTTATGCTAAAAATAATACATTTAAAAATGCCCGTTTTTAAAAAAATATTTGTCACATATCATTTTGGAGATTATTAAAATATCTAAAATTCCAAAAACTTTAAAAAACATGTTAAAAGTTTATAATTGAGAAGTGTGTTAATCTAGAACAAGTCAAAGGGGGTTATTTTCTAACTTTCAGCTGAAAAAACGAAAGCGCCAAGCAGACTTCTCAACAAAGTTCGATCACCAAAACGACAAGCATGTGATTATGGTATTCTCTAATGCTAGACGATTTTGATATTCGTATGTGATTTTAATTTTTGTTGTAATCTGTCATAATAATTATAAATCGTAAATGCTGATTTGTCTAAATATCTAAGGTTAGTATTTGAATGTTATTTTGACATTATTACAATTATAAACTCAATTAGAATATATTAAGGCCAATTTCGGAATTGTAAGGAATCAAAAACAATAAACATCATACATTTGCTGACATTTTAATATTCAAGTCATAATATTTAGATATATATTTTAATGTTTGACTTATCTACTTCCGAAAATAAACTTTTTTGAATGCGCTTTACTTTTTTCAAATAGGAACAGCACAACAAGTAGAGAATACCAAAACGTTTGTGCTTTACACTTTTGCTAGTTATTGCGTTTATGGAGGGAGCTGACTGCTTTCAAAAATGGTTAGACAATAAGCCCCGTTTTAACTCAGCGAAGTAGAAGAAGGTTTCAATCTAGAATATCTGTCAATATTCGCTTCTAACATTTATTTAAGAGACCAAAAATTACATGAGTGGAAATGCATCAGAAGCAGTTGAGGTAACTATGTATCTAGTATTAAAATAAAAATATTTCAATTTGGTGACATACATTTAAATATAAAATGTAGCCCATGCACAACTTCGGTTCCTATGGGATTTCCATTATATTTCTTTGAAAATAGTCACTCCACTAACCAATTTTATCCTTTTTTTTTATTTATAATGACCACTTTTGATACTTTTATATTGTATTTTTTTATTAATTTTATATTGAATTTTTATAATTTATTTCTTGTATTGTTTTTTAATTTGCGTTAATTGTATGTTTTTGGATGAAGCTTAATTGAGTCTTATATAAAAACATTTTTATCACACACAAGTTGTACATAGACAAAATTTAATTTATGTGATTTATTAGATGTATACAGGAGGTTTTTCAGAAATTATACATACCATGTAGGAATAAACTAGCTAGATACTGGCGTCAAATATCTGGAATTATTAATAATTGCTCTCGTGAAAAATGAATGCATGATACGGATTTTCTATTCTTACATAAGTTGTTAAATGGATGTAATATTACTTACCAGAAGTTACTTGGCCTCGGCCCTAAATTTCTGATTTGGCCGTAAAAGATCAACTCGATACTTACAGCCTTTGGTACACAAATATCTATTGTAATTCTATAAATGTCATTAAAAATTTATGAAAAATGTATTTCTCATCAATAAAATTGTTATTTATGATAAAGAAATATGTTAGTTTATAAGAACAAAAATAAAACCTGAATCGATACCAATTCAGTGAAAATGTTGCTAGAGTTGGGGACGCTTTTATACAAAATTGTAATGTTACTATTTTACTAATAAAGCTGCAGTTAATTTATCTTAGCATTTTATTTAAATATAAATATATTATCCGAATAAAATTAATGACGTTAGTCAAGGTTTAAAGGCCTCGTCACTTCAACCTTTTTTATGCTTCTAGTTTATATGTTTGTGTGTGTTTGTTAATTAACAGTCTCCATTAGATCTTTCTTGGAACAATATTACAGACTATGGGGTCTATTCTGTAACAATTCCTTTATATTTAACGGCCTTTAAAAATATTGGCGGCCTGTAAAAATATGTTCGTATTCGTTAATTTACTTCTGTCATTATTTAAACAGATTTCTTTAAGATAGTCCTCTAATGTATTTTAAAGATCCGTTTAAATAATGACAGAAGTAAAGAAGAAAATATTTTTAAAGGCCGTTAAATATAAAGGAATTGTTACAGAATAGACCCCTATAAAGGTAAGTTTCAACAAATTTATAGATTGGTGTCTATCCATTATAAATTACTTTCAAAGCTTATATGTTTGTTTATTCTTAAGAAATGATAAAATCTATTACATATCATTTTTTTTATATTTTTAAAAATAAGTAACTGCCCTAATTCCTATTTTTTGACATCCCTCGTATATGCTAAAAAAAATTAAATTTATCACATCAAGTGGTAAGAATACTACCTTTAGGTATATAAGGGAAAAGTAAATTGGATTTTTTTTATTGTTGAGTTTTAGAAATATTAATTTCTCCTGGTTTTAACATAAGATGAAATGATTAAAACGGTCCTGCAAAGGCACTTTGTGCACCAATCTCACCAGTACTCCTGTGACCTAATGGGTAAATTCAGTTTGGCTTACTTTTTTCAAAAGGGATTGTTGTTCCATTTTAAATACACAGTTTACTGATATCTACCTATAAACAATATTAACAGTGTAATTATTTGAATTATAAGTATCATTTATTACATTTGAATAAAAAATAGAATTTAATTTTTGTAAAATGAAATTTTATGCATGAGTTGCATTGTTCTTTAAATTTGTTATTGACAAAATATTTACAAAAGAATGCTTGGGGTTCTGATGAAAAAACTATTTGATACGCCCATGGGGACCACGGCTGTCAAAAGTTCGTAGATACTGGCTTCAAACAAAGTCTATGTAAAATTGCGCCCGTAACACATCTATATTTCATTTGTTTATCTGAGCACTATACAACCATATACAACACTAGTTACATTATCCCCATCTATAGTTACGCCTGTGTTCTACCATCAACATAATTGACAGCTGACAATGACAAATTTTTTCAACCTTTAAATGTAAAATACCCTAAACTAAAAAGTCTTTTTTAAGTTACGGGTACAACATGGTATGTACATGGCATAAAAGTAGACAAGAAAAACCAAAAAAAGAGCCTCACGTGACCCCGATTTCTTATGTCATTAGTGTCAATTTTAATTTGTTATTGCACTTCCCTTGTATAGAAGTCTTCTATTGGGTGCACCAGTTAATTGTTGAAATATGTAACTTTCTACACAATTGTGTTGTCTATAACAACGCTGCAGGGGTAAGCGTGCCTTTTTTGAAACCACATTAACCACAATTTCAAATACTTTCACATCTGCACAAAATATAAGTGAGGAAACTGAATTGAATTATCTAACGAACTTTCTTCGATTTACCGGCGGTGAATATATAAAATGTTTAATTTGTAATTTTTTTTAGCCACATTTCATTCTTCGCTTTACGGTTTTCCAATGAGTTGTTCTCATTCTTAGTTTATAGTGTTTTTATAATGTAATGCGTTAAGTCTCACTGCTTACCCTACCACTTATAGTTCCGTAATTAATAATAGGCTTGAAAATGGCTATACAGCCTAAACAGGAGCCAAAAAATAATTACTAAATAATGACTATGGTATAGATTTCATGTTTCATTTATCTCAAAGTTGATAACCTTAATTTTTATTGCAGTTTTAATGGAATGCCAAGATTAAGAACTACCTGATAACTGATGTTTCCTGGAGTTAATTATTTATATAATAATATCTGTAATTCTTATTTTATTTGTCATGATAACGTTCTTTTTACAATATTATTCATGCCTAGTATCCATAAGTATTTGATTTAAAAGATGAAGTACCTAAACAAAAAACTATTCCACGAGATATCAAAAAATTACTCACTTTTGGTGTTATATGTGGATTCTCTTGGATGTATCCTAAATATAACTGATGAAGCAAAACATATTTTCTCTCTGAAAATTTAATAAAAAAAATTAAAATTAATATAATCATTACATTTCTTAAAAATATAGCAATTATTAATTAGGTGGTTGATCTTTAATATCTTATTTAAACAATTATTTATTCAAATAGATAAAAAATAAGTACTTGAATGTTAATCCATTTTTCCGAATATATTTATGAAGAATTGTATATTTATTACATTGAAATAGGTCAACAATTGGTATCGTTGCAAAATTAATTAATTGCCGAAATAATATACAGGTTATCGAATTTGGAAAAGTTCAATTTGAAGGAAGCCTCATTTTTCAAAACAGGATCTAAAAAGGGCATGGCTGGATTGCGCTGATGGTTAATCCCTTAATTACCATCATGAAAAGGTTCGAAAGAGGGTATGGATGGATTGCGCTGGCCGTTACTTACGGTTTCATCTTATTTGCCTGGGGGGCTATTTTCAAAGCATGGGAGCACTCATTTTCTCAAGATTCTCATCAGAAATGTCATGTCAATGTGGAAACGCTGTTTTTAAAGGCCTCGAGGATTAAAATTCTTAGGAGAATTTTAATTCTCACTAAATAAACCGAGATAAACAGTCAGTGAGTTCACACTGGCCCTAAGAGCCATAAAAATACTGTTTTACGTTGACGTATGACATTTCTCTTGAGAGAAATGAATTCTCTTGAGTTTGAAAATAGCACCCCTGGTTTAATGCAAAGTTATTTATTAATAGAACAGTAATAAAAATATAGACACAAATTTAATGACACACAGTTTAAATTATTTTTTCTGATGCCTTGGCAGGATTCTCCACTCGACCATTCATTGTTGGGTTCTAATTGACAGTGCTGTTCCTAAAGTGACGCTGGGAAACAGTAACAAAGCCTACACAGAACACGAGGCGAAATAACCTTAGCAGTTGAAGCCGATGACACACCAAAAAAAAAATAACATATTACCCTTAGAGTTAAACACACTATCCATCCATGCCTTTAAATCCAGATTAAAGCAACATCTACTAGATAGCCAGCAAACATAATAGTGTTTATGTCCTCTCTACTTTATCTCAATGTCTGATTTGCATATAAATGAGTAATCTATATATCTATCTATATACCATTGGTTAAAAGTTAACCTCCATAAAAGGTGCTTTTACGGTAGGTAGAGTGGATGAATGTTTATTAAATTGTTTGTTAAAATAACCCAGTTGCAATAAACATAAGGGTAACAATAATTTGGTTCAGAAAATCAATAGATTTATATCTCAAAATTATTAGAATACTGTTACGCAGGTTTTTGGTATCACAATTTATTTCAACTGAACTTTAACAATAACAATGCAACTGATAACATTAACGTGTAATGTCTATCATAAAACTGCCAACTAACGTCAGGATCATCCTTATATAGCTTATAAACCTTCCCGAACTGTCTTCTAGAATATTCTTGACATGTAATGACATTTCCAAACATTACTGGAATATTCTATCTTCTTTTACTTGTACTTTTACTTATAACGACCGCAGCATACTGTAGGACGATGAGTAACATTCCACTTCTTTTTCTATCTGTACGTTTCTTATGATAGTCGCCGGTTACTGCAGGGTGCTGCGTAACATTGCTCCCTCCTCTCTAGTTATTCGCCACGAATAACTTGATTATTGGAACCTAGTTGGAACTAATGAGGAGGATCTGGACCATGGTATGGAGCTATCTTCCCAATGTGAACTACGTTAAATTTACTTCCCACTGACAGTTGAATGCGGCAGATCAGGTTGTTGATTTTCCTTAAGGACATAGTAGGGGCCTTCCCAGTTCCGTTGCGATTTCTGACGAAGTTCTTCTCGCTGCTTGGGATTGAACAGCCATACCTTGTCGCCCCTCTCAAAATGTGTATCTGTGGGGCACGTCTGTCCATTCTAGCTTTTGCTTTATCGGTGTGGGTTTTCAGTCGTTTGCGTGCGAATCCATAGACCTTTGTCCTGCCACTGCATACATCACATTTTTTACACCAATCCGCTACATCCCGTCGGGAATTGACCCAATAAAATCTATCCTGAACTCGTGCCAGTGTCCTTTTAGTATCAAAGTGTCCTCCTGAACGGCTGCTATGAAGCTCCTCCAATACTTTTCTCACCTGTGACCTCGGCAGTATCACTTGACGGACTACATGTACTCCATCGGAGCTGTCCCACTTCCGGTGAAATAGGCCATCGTGAAGATACACGGAATCCTACTGGGTCAAGTAGCCTTTTATTGTTCTACTGTATTTAGCTATCTTTTGCCAAGTAGGTGTGATTTTATTTTTCAGCCATTCTCGGACAACCTTTAAGTCATTGTCTTCCTTCTGTCCCTGTCTCAGACTTTCAAGGGTAATTTCTACTTCGTCGCCCTCTAGCTTGATAGTGATGGCCCGAAGAATAATTTTATCAACCGGTTCTTCTCGTTCTTCGAGCCTTTTACCATACCAGCATTGTTCCTCTAAACGGGGTGTCCCGAAGAAAATGTCTGCGTTGCTATGGAGACCTCCTCGATGCTCTACTTTCTGGTTATTATTAGAAAGCCGGCTCGGTGTGGGCGATTGGCTTCTTCGGGACGCATAGCTGCTGTAATTAATTCTTGTTGGTCTTAGTGATGGGCTTGGAAAGATTGATCTATATGATTTTCCGGTCTCTTTCGCTGATTCTCGATTTATAGAATGAGCCATGCTTCTACAGGTTCTTTGAAGATGCCCGATTCTTCCGCAATTGAAGCGTCTTATGCTTCCATTTTGGCTGTTGCGATGCATATTTCGTAGGATATTTAAAATTTGGGGAATAGCATTAGTATTGGCCTCCTCACCTTCCTGGGATTTAATTTCCCTCACTTTTACGCGAGAAGATCTGGATAGAAGTTTTACTGCTTCATATTCCTGAGCTGCAATCAGTTTCTCCCTCAGCGTCTTGTGATGTTGTAGACGAAGGACTTGCTGCATTTCCACATCTTGTAGTCCATCAATGAATGCTTGTATTCCGAGTTGTTCTTGGAAATCTATCGGCACCTGTGGATAGGCCAGATGAAGCAACCTTCTTATATCAGCCTCGAATTCCTGTAGACTCTCATTATGTTTCTGACTACGAACCTTTAGCTGGCTTTGGAATACCCGTTGCAAATGCTGCTGGCCATATCTTGTCTCCAAAGCTTGGATGAGAGATGAATAACTGGGTTCCTCTTCAGGAAGTAACTATAAAACGGTTGCTGCCTGACATCGCAGTGACACTATCAATGAAGCCGCCATCTCTTTCTCGATCCAGCCATTGGCTCTAGCTGCAGCTTTAAATTGGAGTTGACATGATTCCCATGTTGTCTGACCGTCAAAAGTGGGTGGCTTAAGGGTCTTGCTAGTATAGTTTTGTGAAACTGGGATTCGAATGTGGCTTGGTTCGGTTATGGATGAAGACGAGGTAGTAGTGTTTGCAGCTTTAATGCTGTTTACTGAAGCTTGACTGTAAATTATTTTTTCTAACTCAGACATTTCAGCTCTAATTTGCCTTTTCAATTCTACTCTAGCCTGTTCTTGTTGTTCTAAATTAGCTTTTAAATTCTCTTGCTGTTTCTGTAAATTAGCCTCTAGATGCTCTTGTTGCTCTAACAGATCTACTCTAATTTTAAGTTGACCAACCTCTTGTTTGAAGGTACCTGGATTTGTAGTAAACTGTTCATAATTTCAATCGCTTCTTTTCTACGCCTCTCCTCCTTCTCCTCCTCTTCTTCCTTCCTACGCCTTTCCTTTTCTTCTTCTCGTCTTTCCCTTTCCTCCTCTCGTTTAACTCTCTCTTCCTCTTCTTCCTTCCTACGCTTTTTCTTTTTCTCTTCTCGTCTTTCCCTTTTCTCCTCTCGCCTTACTCTCTCCTCCTCTTCTTCCTTCCTACGCCTTTTCTTTTCCTCTTCTCGTCTTTCCCTTTTCTCCTCTCGCGTTACTCTCTCCTCCTCTTCTTCCTTCCTACGCCTTTCCTTGTCCTCCTCTTCTTCCTTCCTACACCTTTCCTTTTCCTCTTCTCGCCTTACTCTCTCCTCTTCCATCTTTAAAAACCATGCTGGTGGGTCTGAAGTATCCATTCCTGCTTCGTACTCAGTGGATCTAGTATTTACCATAAACATTTACTTTGTATCCCACCGCTGTCACCAATGTTACGCAGGTTTTTGGTATCACAATTTATTTCAACTGAACTTTAACAATAACAATGCAACTGATAACATTAACGTGTAACGTCTATCATAAAACTGCCAACTGACGTCAGGATCATCCTTATATAGCTTGCTTGACCCTTCTCGAACCTTCCCGATTTGTCTTCTAGAATATTCTTGACCGGTAATGACATTTCCAGATATTACTGGAATATTTTATCTTCTTTTACTTGTACTTTTACTTATAACGACACTGTAAGGCGATGAGTAACATTCCACTTCATTTTATATCTGTACGTTTCTTATGATAGCCGCAGGCTACTGCAGGGTGCTGCGTAACAATACATTTTTTGTAAAATAAATAAATAATTTAAAATATTGTATAAAAAATGTATATAAATAAGTTGTAAAAACAATAAAAAAAATCCGATTATAATCTTTCAATTTAAATTTTTAAACGGTGACATATGTCCACCATATTAATGTAACTTTTAGGCAACTGATATTGATTTAGTCTCTTGGGATACAAAAAAATTAGCCGGTTTACAGAGGGTGATTTTCGTGGGTGGGTGGCTCAATGGTAGAGTCTCTGGAGCCTGTGGAGACAAGGGTCCCAGGTTCGGATCCCACCGTCGGCCGGGATTTTTTTTATTAAATTTAGGATTCCCTACTCGACCATTCACTGTTGGGTTCTAATTAACAGTGCTGTTCCTAAAGTGGCGCTGGGAAACAGTTACAAAGCCCACACACAACACGAGGCTAATGACCTTAGTAGTCGATGCCGATGACACAAAAGATACATATTTTCTAACAACCAGTAAAATATCATACTCGACTTATAAAAGAA